ATGTAAAAAATGCGTTGAGCAATAAATTAAATATTCTTATTCTTTGTATTTGTAATGCATAAAAATAGGCAATATACAATTTTGTTTAATTATAATAAAGTTTCTTTCAGTTTATTTCCTTCCTAACATCCATATTTCATACATTCAATCAAGAAACATGAAGTCCGGTTATTTGATCAACTATGGTATAAATAGGTATAAATTAAGTGTTGATATGTTTAGTGTTGAATATGGAAATTAATTACAAAAGAGTTTATAAATTATAAAATTTTATTTAATAATCCTTGAATTATTAAATGTGAGTCCAAGTGCATGAAGATCCGATAATTAGATCAAAAGTTATCCAGGTTTTTTTTTTATTTTTTTTTGTTTTTTCTAACTACACATTTGACTTTATAGTTTTGTTTCTTATAAAAGTTCCCTGTTAATCACAATAAAAAGTAAATAATCGTTGCTATTTAAGAATTGTTACTGTTATTTTATGTTTTAGGTTTATCATTTTATTTCTTTGTATGTGTGATATATTCAATTATCAAATAAACTTATTTATTTTATATTGCCTCTTGTTTATACTTTGTACATGCTGTTTCAAAGTTATATTTTCTTTTTAAAAAAAAGAAAAAAAAATATTGCAAATCTCTGATTTTAACAATTGGAATAGTTAAATTTACGTATTAATTTTTTTGAGAGAGAATTAATTAATAACACATGAAAATAAAAAATTTGAAAAATTATGTTGTATTAGTAGGCATTTAAAAGAGATAACATTTTTATTTTTGCTTAAAATCTTTTTTTTTCTTATAATTATTATTTTTTGCAAATTACCTAGCTTACATGTTTTGTTTTTCATTTTTTAAATGAATTTTCAATAACTGTAATAAGTATAAATATTAAATTTATTTACGAATATCTAATCTTTCAAAAAGAAACGGTTTTTAATTATTTATTATTATGATTATTTATTTATTTTCGGAAGGATTGATCGAGAAACAAAGCTGTTTGCTTTGTTTAACTGAATGGATAAAACTACGAACGAAACTTAATTCTTATCAAATTTCAATTTAAAGTGGGTGCTATTTTTACATGAAAAACAGGTAATATATAAATAAAAAATTAAGTCAATTCCTGCTCAGGTCAACAAAGAAACATGGAAAGATTATTAAATAATTAAAAAAATTTCTCCCATGTAAAACTAAATTTAATTAATGAGTTAATATTTGAAAAAAAACTGCATTCACATCAAGTGTCCACTACAAGTTTTAAAAAAAAATGTATTTGAACTTGAGTGGATAAATAGAAAGTATTTTATTAACGATTGAAAATTTGAACAAGATAAGGGGAGAATGTGAACTAACAGTAGAATACCCATATTTTTTTATTGTTCACTCTTCCATGGGCATAGAACCAAAAATTTGTATATTGTCTTATGAAGCTAAAGAAATCGATCACTAACGATGGACATTTGATGGATATTATTTTCTTTCAAAAAAATAATTTGATATTATCTATATGTACTTTCACTACAGCGCGAGAATCTCGCATATTTTTTTCTTTTCTCACATTAAAAAATTATTACCGCGAGAAATTCGCGCATTCTATAAATAAATGTCAAAATTCGCGAATTTCTCACACTTTGGAAAAAGCTTCGAATTACGCCATTTAGAATAAAATCCGTTTCACTTTTCTTCCTGGATCTTTCATTATTTTCAACATCTGCCCCGTTTTCTAGCTTCCCTATTTACCAGTATTGTTCAGAACCTTTTCGAACAACAGAACACAACCACGGANAAGGCAAATAAAAATATAGTCTTAAAAAATAATAGCCCGCATAATTTCTACTGAAATTTTTATTTTTGCCATTTTGTCTGAGCTCAAGGGGGTGTTTAAACCCCTAAACCCCTCCCTTGCGTACGCCCCTGCTTCCATGGGCAGAACCAAAAATTCGTATATTATCTTATGAAGCTAAAGAAATCGATCACTAACGATGGACATTTTATGGATATTATTTTCTTTCAAAAAAATAATTTGATATTATCTATATGTAGTTAAATTAATTATAATGTAAAATGGTGTATATGAATAAAACTTATAAGTTATTAGTTCTGTAATTCCACTTTGATAACATGAAAGTTACATTGACCTTGAAAATCCCGTATTGTCTTTCCAAAGTTATAAGCGTGTTTTTTGTGATTCACTGAAATCAGACCACTTACTTATTGTCAAAATATTCCATAAATTAATATTGTCAAAAGCTTCCTAAAATTTAAAGCATTAGACTTGTAAAAAAAAATACGCAAAGCTTATAAGCAATGTAGTTTTAAATTTAAAACACTACTTTTTTAAACAATTGAAGTACTTCCTAGTCTAGAATGTTAATACAGTAAAAAAAAAAATATTCCACAATTTAACTGAAAAGGGAAGCAAAATTCAGAAAGTTACATTATTTAACTAATTTTAAAAACTATCAAAACATGCAGTTTCACTTTAAGTATGATTTTAGAGAAATTATTTTTAAACAAATGCTCACCTTATGAACACTTTTATTCTTATAAGCAGTTTTTTTTTTTATCTCTTAAGTTAACTGTGTGAATCGCAATAGAGCCATGAATGGTTGAAACAATTACATTCACTAGTTTTTTTAAATGGCTCCAAATGCCTCTCAATGGGGGGAAAAAAACAGAAAATTTCCGTACATTCTCTATTGTGTGTGTCAGAAAAAAAGATTTTTAATGTAAATATTCTCCTTGCCCAAATTCCGAACAATATTTAAATAAATCTATTTTAATACTATCTTTTCCAACTGTTTTTAAAATACAATTGCATTTTCTGTAGGATTCGTGCTAAAATTTTCAAATTTTTCACAACTGTTATAGCCACCAGCCATCTTAATAAGATTTATTTTATTCAGAAACATTAGTGCAGAGAAAAATAAAGTTTTTGAACAAACAAAACATTTGTGAAATCTTTTAATTTTGAATAAAATGCTTTATTCTGTTTTGCGTGCTTTTGGGCTAATATGGATAATGTTTGCTCTAAAAAGATTTATTTTCAGGAAAGAAATGAAGACACATATTCAAAAGGAATATAAGCACTTTGCATTGAAGTATGTATTGTTTTCAGCTATGTTTAGATATCTTTTATCCGTAATTTAAAGTGCTACTAATAATTTGTGTAAAATTTTCAAACTTAATTTTATAACTTATAAGAATGTAAACGGAGAGATTGTCAATTGTTGAAAATCATTAAAAAGAATGAGCATCCAACTCACATTTGTTCGAAAAAAGCAAACGATTTTAAATCAAACGTGAACCACAGCTGCCGTCATTTTTTAATCGCCCGTACGTTTTTTTCAAGGAATTAAAATTAAGTAATTTGATGTTCTTACTTGAAATTGATCCTATAATAGTCAGTAAAAAATATGTTACAAGATTAAAATCCGTTGATTGTGTTGAATCCGATGAAAACGAACTTATAGGCTTTTGCTTTTTTAAAAGCTTTGTTCTACTTACTGTGTTATTTACATTCTATAACAAAAAAATCGACGCACCAAGAAGCAATCATCCGATTGCTTTGAAATTTCGTATGCATGAATGGTTTGAACAGATATGTTGTTGTTGTTCATTTACGTCGCACTAGAGCTGCACAATGGGCTATTGGCGACGGTCTGGGAAACATCCCTGGAGGATGATTCGAAGACATGCCATCACAATTTTGATCCTCTGCAGAGGNTTTGGTTGTACTTTAAAAGCTTTGTTCTACTTACTGCGTTATTTACACTCTATGACGAAAAAAATCGACGCACCAAGAAGCAATCATCCGATTGCTTTGAAATTTTGTATGCATGAATGGTTTGAACAGATATGGCTGGAATGATGCCGACTGGGGACGTATAGTCTTTAGTGACGAATCATGCTTCCAACTGTGTCCTGACGATCATCGAAGACGTGTTTGGAGATGCACAGAGCAGAGGGGGGATCCTGCCTTCACTATTGCACGCCACACCAGCCCTCAACAAGGCATTATGGTCTGGNGTATAGTCTTTAGCGACGAATCCTGCTTCCAACTGTGTCCTGACGATCATCAAAGACGTGTTTGGAGATGCACAGAGCAGAGGGGGGAACCTGCCTTCACTATTGCACGCCACACCAGCCCTCAACAAGGCATTATGGTCTGGGGTGCCATTTCCTTTGACAGCCGGACCCCTTTGGTCGTCATTAGAGGTACACTTACTGCACAGCGGTACGTCGACGACATCCTAATACCTGTTTTGCTACCGTTCCTCTTGCAGCGCCCTGGGCTGGTTTTTCAGCAGGGCAATACCAGACCACACACGGCACGTGTTGCTTTGAACTGTCTGCAAACTTGTCAAACTCTTCCTTGGCCTGCCAGATCTCTCTCCCATCGAGCATGTCTGGGATATGATGGGAAGGCGATTGCATCTGGCACGGAATGTTGATGACCTCGTTCGACAATTAGATCGAATTTGGCAGGGTATACCGCAAGAGACCATGCGGGAGCTTTATCGGTCTATGCCACGCCGTGTGTCAGCTTGTATCCAGGCTAGAGGAAGGTCAACACCTTATTGAACTTGTTTCCGTAACACTGCAATAAATTGTTCAATTGTTCTGAAATTTTAATCATTTACTATTCTGTACATTGTCTTCCTATCCACTAATTTTCGTTTCAATCGGACAAATCCTTGGTGCTTCGATTTTTTTGTTATAGAGTGTAGTATTTGCTGTTGATTTTAAATGATGTTTACTTACTTAGTTGTGATGTATTATTTGGTGAAAATGGATGAACAACTAACTGGATACTTTAAGCCTGATCTTTAAAGATTTCAGCCCCTCCTGTCATTGTTCGTTAGAAGAAATCATAGATACGTTTGAAGAAATTAAACGAAGAAATCATCTGATAATTGTAGCAACGATGATATTATCAAAAATTGAATATTTCAAAAAAGTGTGAGCTTTCGTAGCCGTAGCGGTTATTTCAAAAACAGAAAGTGATTTCTCAACTTCGGCAACTTTAACTAGCCATATCACACGTGCAGAAATTCCTTTTCAATCAAGTTCCTTTTCCATGACGCAACAAATAGAGACAAATCATAAAAAAGGTGAGCCCTGCTTTCTTTGTTTTTTTGCATATAAGTTCTTGGAGAATAAATTAAAAATTTGTGATTCAAGGTTATTTAGAAAAAGTTAGCGTTTTATGATGGATGATTAAAGAAAATTGATATGTTTTGAATTTACTTTCGTTGTTTACTTTTTTTTAGGTCGATTAAATTTCTTTTTTTAAATGTTCTTTCGTTTTCTAATACTCATTGGGTGTTTGCTTTCGATTGTTATGTCAATGTTATTTCATTTTGATTATAATTTTTTTTTTTGTTTAAAAAATGCACCCCAATCAACAAAAAAAAAATTTTTTTTTTGGTTTTTATTTTCTAATTTAGATTGATTGATTTTGAGAAGTAATTAATTTTTTCCCATTTTTTTTATAATTTAAGGTTTTTTCATTAAACACATGAATTTTTGAACAGTTAGGAAATTGAAATATTTTAAGGTTTATTTTAATTCTAAAAATTTTTTTTTATAACAGATGTATATTGGATCCCTCAAAATTATTTTAAAGGTTCAATTTATTATTTTCACTACACAAAATTATTTATTTAAAATCATTATAAATAAATACATTTCTAGCATTATCATTACTGATTTTTCAAAATAAACTAAGCTCATTAGTTTGTAGTATAATTTGTTTGTAATATAATTTGTTTGTTTGCTCATTAGTATAATTTGTTTGTTTGCTCATTAGTTTGTAATATAATTAATCGTAGTATAACCTTATAGACATAATTTTTAAGTATTGTAAGTCCCTGTAAACACAAATAACTGCTTGAAGTTTGCATTTTTTTACAAGCGGTTTTCATAGAGTAAAATATGTTATAGCGTTTTATAAATACTAATTTCTTGTTAAAATTTATTAGTTATCTTTTTATTTCTTATTCCTATTCTGAATCATAATGTTTCGTGATGCTCTAGTAAGCTACGTAGAATATTTTAGCAACAAATCTGTGTAACAACAATTGAAAACAGAAAACTAAATTCTAGAATTTAAACTCCAGATATTTCTTCTTAAAATGCGTTCAAGTTGGAAAGCTTTAAAATTAAAATAAATGGGCTTTAAAAAATAAAATTTTAGGATTTAAAAAATAGAAGGATTTAAAAAATAAAATTTTAAAATTAGTTGTGCAATGAATATTTAGTATCCGGCTCAACCAAAGATTACGAGCATTATTTAAAATTATTTCGACTGATATATTTTAAAATATTGACCTATAAAATTAAATGTGAGTTAACGCAGTTAGAAAATTTTAAATTTTTAATAAAATTTTATTTTTAGTATTAAGTACTACTTTATTTTTGATATAAATAAAATGTATTAATTTCATAAAGTAATATAAAATTGATTAATGATTTTAATGAAAAACTAGCTGTTTACATAAACATAAGAAATAGGGCTATTTTCAAATTTGAAAAATTGTAAAGCAAAACGTATGTGAAAGCTCCAACTTCTTATATTACGGTATTAACTCTCAAGGCGTACTACTTCATAGTCCGTACAGGGTTATCTGCCCACCTGGAAAGTCATGAAAAATCATGGATTTCGGTATTGAAAAAAATTTTGTCCTGATTTTAACTATTTTTTTTTAAAAAAAATCATAAAAAGTCATGGATTTAGGTCGCCGAAAAATCTAATTTTTAAAATGGTGTTCTGAATATCTAATTTCATGGTGTTCTGAATACCTGAATTTGTAACAAAATCCCCACTCACAGTCATATTTTATTAAAATATAAAATGTTTTTATCATGTTCTTTAAAAACTACGGTGTTCTTTAAAAAAATGAAGGAAAAAAACATCATTTCTAGAGCGAATTATTTTTAAACTTCTGTGATTTCAGAATTTTTGTTTATTATATATTTTTATTTTATCAATTTAAAATTCTAGCTGAAGCAAGCCAGTCATTGACGAATTTTTTTTAATTCCGAAATGAGAACTGAAAAATCAGGAGTATATCTTTCCTTTCCGATGAACCAGAAAAGTATCTTCAGAAAATAATTCTGCGGAAGAAAAAAAAATTATTTTCTTTTGTATTTTTTTCAGCTATTTCATTGCATCCACTCTTTTTACTCTGTCTTTTTAAATTTAAAATCTATAAATATGAAGATGCAGAATGTAACAGATTTGGTTATACCTATCATTTCAACTTATGTTATTATAATGCTTTTTTAAATGTATTGTTGTGTTATTGTCGGAGAAGATAGTAACTTCGTTAAGTCATGAAAAATTTTTGGAATTAGTCATGGAAAGTCCTGAATTTGAAAATCTAAAATGTAGCAGATAGCCTTTGTCCATACTAAAGACATCCTTTCGTGAAGGAAAAAAATCTCCACATGAGCAATAAACGGTGCGGAAGTGTTTTCTCGGCGGTTTGAAGTGATTATGTGACTTAAATATCGTTAGAAGAAATTAACTAGCATATTTCAGATTAGATACTGGAACCAATAAAATCGCATTTTAATTTTCGCAAAAATCCGATCATTAGAACAAAAGTTATGAATACATTTTGCTTTTATATTGCTCATTGTACCTTTTAATAACCTGATTGTATAAAAATAGATAATAACAGTTTTATGGAGAAAGGAAATGCGTTTATTTCCCAGAGTTCGCTCGGCGTCGGGTTCAAAGTTTAAAAGGAGGAAACCTTGATAAAACGTCATCATAGCAGAAAAATACATTTTCCTCCAAAGAATAAACGGTGAACAATTAGATTTCAATTATTCTTATCAGTCTTTATTTTCTGCCTGATAATGATTGTTGTGATTGTGCTTCCATCAAGGATTAGAAAGGGGTTAAGAACAGATCCATCAAAAACATGCTAGGAATTATTTCATATTTTATTTTGGCCGGTTTCTTCGGATTGTTATCGTTGGCCTCTCTCAATGCAGAACTAGGATTAAGAAGGCGTTACGTGAAAGCCCTGCTCAAAGTGTTTGAAGTAAGTCGTTATCGCAAAAAATGCTTTTCTTTAATGCACTTTATGTGTCGTTAAATTATTCCTAACTCATTTTTGAAACTCAATTGTTTAGAATAGAATCGTGCATATTAGATTAGAATCGAAAACAATTTATTTAAAAAGATTGAATCTACATAAATATAATTTACTTTACATTTGGCGATTTTATTTATTTTGAGATAGTTTGATTTACATTAGTAGATTTTATTTATCTGAAGTAAACTAACTTTGCACCAGGTAAGAATATTTAATTTTCTTAAGGAAAGTTTTATTTATATTAGAAGATTTGAGCCGCGACGGTTCAGTTGTCATTATGAAGAACTGGAGTGCGAACCCCAGTGGCGCCATCTAGTTTCAAGTCGATTGTTTAGGAATGAAATGCGACCTGTGCGCTATGCTGAATATAGTTTGTCTACGGTAAGAACTCCCCCCGCCACAAAGTTTGAGACCATCTGGTGCTATGGAAACAAGAATAGCGCATTTCAGTAAGGGTTGTTTCTCTTCACTCTAGGGCTAACATAGTAGACCGAAGGAAAAGATACCCTTTCTCTCGCCGACCTGAGCCAAAACCTGTTCTAAACCCCTACTTGAAATAGTTTTACATTGTTACCATAGTCACCACCAAGAGTTCAAACGAATGGCTAGGGGAGTTCTTACTTTAGACAAACTATACGTTGCCTCGAATCATGCCGTTAGTCGCTAAGTTGCGTAGCCTTGACCGCCATATCCGTATTGTTTAACTTTTGTATCAACGGGCAATGGCATAGTTTTGGGANCCCCCCCCCCGAAATTATGCATTGCTTGATTAATGAGTTATTGTACGGTAAGGGTAAGTAGAAGGATGCAGTTTTAAAAAAAAATTTCATTATTGGTTTTTTCTAATTTGAGCATTATATTCATATATAATGTCGCAAAGAGATAAACTACCTCCAAACATGCATTAAAACTACGCCACTGTCAACGGGTTGTTGTTGGAAGGATTTACTTTACTTTTTGTTCGAAGATTTGACTTACATTNCATTATATATATAATGTCGTAAGGAGATAAACTACCTCCAAAAATGCATTAAAACTACGCCACTGTCAACGGGTTGTTGTTGGAAGGATTTACTTTACTTTTTGTTAGAAGATTTGACTTACATTAGAAGATTTGATCGACATTAGGTGATTCAATGGACTTAAAAATAATTTGTTTACAAATACATCTGAAGATTTAGTTCATTTATAGATATTTTGAATTGAGAAATAAAGAAATTGCGTGTGTCTCAAAGCAAGTCCTGAAAATATTCCAGGGAACTAAACGAATGTTCTTTTTTATCCAATGAATATAATAGAGTGTATAAACAACAAGTAATCTATAAACAACTTGGGACTTGTCAAAATAAACAACTTTTACCAAGGTCTGCCCACAGATCACGTTTTCTGAGGATATCTAATAGTATACTGTAATCGAAATGCAAACTGTAAGTGAAATGTTTATTCAAACTGCAGGAGGAAAAAAGGCTTGATTTGATTTTCAACAGTAAGAAATTTTTGCTTTTATCAAGCACCGCACTTTCTGCTCCCCCAACATGGCTTGTTTTTACAAATTCTCTTATCTTCAGTTATGTTACACGTGCTTGTAGATTGGACTACAAGTAGCTAATTGGGCGACTCTTAGAAGTCCCCGCTACTGAAAATCGAATGTGGGCTACCCGCTACTTTTTGGGCTACTCATTATTTTTCAAACGTTACAAATCCTAAAATTGAGCTACTTTTTTTCTTACAGATAAATATATATATATTTTTAATTTCCCCCCCCCCCTTCCCATTATAAAATGATTCTAAAATGTCTGCTGCAGTTTCTTTCTTTTTTAAAAAAAGACATTTTTTATTTCTTGTAGTTGAAAACGCATATCCGCTTTAGTTTTGGACTCTTGATTTGTTTTGTTGCGCGGAGTCTAGAATCTTTCCATATCTATGTTTCAAATCGAAGACTTGTGAAATCGTGAAGATATATATGGAAAAAATGCACGGCGAGTATGATGGGGAAAAAATCTTTAATTCCAACCATTATTAATCGTTTATATACTGGAAAAGTCACTTGACCTATAATCTGAGTAGAAACGAAATCGTGAATTGGACGAAATTTTTAACGCAATGCATTGAAATTTAACTTAATAACAAAAAAAAGATATATATATATATTATATATATGTACCGTATTTTTTGGGGCTACAAAATGTTCGAATGCGCTACTTTTGGAGATCCCGTTCGCTACTTTTTAATCTTAAATTCTGGCAACACTGCTTACACCCTCACAGTTGCAGGGTAAACCAACCAGTGAAGGAACACTACCCAGTGAAGGAACATTTCGTATATATTGATTAAAAATAAGNAAAAAATCATCTGTTCCCGGGTACAGCCAGGGGCACCGAATTCGATAGAGTTAAATACTTTTATTAGGAATAATTCTTGTTTAATTTTCTAATGTCGGGCCCCATAATTTCTTTCAATTTTTATTCGATATACTTAGAAATTGAATATGACGTCTGTTAAAATTGTAATTTAATTTGCACTTACGTTTTTTTTTTTTTTTAATTTTTTTATAACAAAATGGCGACAATTTGAATAAAAAGTATCTTTAGAAAAATTGCTTAACGTTCAATTAAAAATAATAAAGAGGGATGCAGAGGATCAAAATTGTGATGGCATGTCTTCGGAACATTCTCAGGGGTGCTTCCCAGACCGTCGCCAATAGCCCATTATGCAGCTCTAGGGCGACGTAAATGAACTACAATAGCAACCGACTTGTGAGAAAATGTATGAAGGTATCGCATTTTGTACTAAAAAAACATTATGTAAAGTTTCAAAATGTTATTCTATTAAAAAAAAGAAGAAAAAAAAACAGCGCCAATTGCGGTGGATTTAAATTTTCACTTTATTTAAAACTTAAAATTGCCCCAAAAAGCTCTCTCTCTCTTTTTAATTCCAATAATATATAATGAAAAGGGGAGCAAAAATTGGGTTTGTACCCTTGCGTTTTAAACTCTAGCTACGATTCTGAACCCGATTTATCGTTGCAATTTAACCAAGTGATACATTTTAAATTAATGTATTAAATTCTTTAATCTGACATTAAATGGTTGGCAAAAAAACTTTTGATGACGTGGATTTATCCCAATGTTTAATAATGGTTAAGTAGAAAAAACTCACTCAACATCTCATTAGAGATTTTTAATTTAAAATACTGAGTACATTGCATATTTTTTTTAAATGTTAATAATATAAGTAATTAATTTTATTAATGCTTCTCAGCTTACATATAACATTTATTTGCAAGCTACATTCTTAAATAATAAATCTCATCATCATCATCATAGTTGCCCAGACAGCCCAATGTGGGCCAATGCCTTCCTCTGACGATTTCTCCATAACTCAAATAATAAAACTATTTCTGCTAAATTAATATAAAAGTACTAATGAAGCCACTTGTCTGTAAAATAGTTTTTTTCTTTATTTGCAATATTGTAAAACATTTCCGCTATTAAATATACATCATAGCGTAAAAGTTTTAGCGTAGTAGTGAGTATAATAATTCGTGAAAGCAAAGTTTTTTTTACACTTTACTTAAAGAACTATTATCGGATCTTTATTTAAATTGTTAATTTTGTAAATGAATTTAATTTAATTAAAGGATATACTTTTTCTCTGAAACAGTTCGGGCGGACAAGAATTGAAAAGTCTGAAAGAAAAAACACTTTAGATGAAATCGAAGAAGATGTGTGGGATGAATATCATTCAGGTAATAATATTTCATATAACTATAAAAAAATTTGTATATTTTAGCACCAAAAATGGTGCCAACTACTCTACACCAAAATTGTTGTAGTGAAACAGACAATTTCTTGGTGTTTTGAAACACCAGGAAACGTTCACTACGTTTGATGCAGTTTCCGCAAAATTAATTTTTTTAATAATAATTAAACACGATGCATATAGTAAATTATGTAAAAAAATTTATGCAATTTAAGCGCAATACAGCGAGAATATTAAGACTAATTCGAATTAAGCTTAATAGAACAGAAACTGATAGAAATTAAATACTGACACAACTTAATACAAAAGATAGATTTTTAAAATTAAATTATAACTATCCTTATCATACGTGTTTTTTTTTTTTTTTTTTTTTTACAAGCGTCGTTGAACAGCAGATCCAATTTTTGGGTTTACAAATACTAATGTTCAACTCCATAGCCTTGCCATCTTGAACTCCTGGATCAAGTATAGAGAAAAATTTGCCTTCGTGGAGCACTCTTGATGGAACTAACCAGCATTTGCGTTACATGGAGAGGAAGACCACGAGAGTCTTTCACGGTTTGCCTAACGGCAAAGGGACTCTCATCCATGATTCTTCTACCACTGAGGATATTTCACGTCAGCACAGTGGTCGGTGAAAGCCGGATGCGGATTCATATCGACTAGCAATCGCCGGGATTCGAACCCGGTTCACCTCATTGGAAGGCGAACGCTCTATCCCCTGAATCATCACGGCTCTTATTATATGGTTCAGAAACATACACTTTGCGAAACCAAACTTAGTCTCTGTAAAAGTAAAGGTGTATGGCAGAGTACAAAAACGACAACAAACTGCACGCCATTTCGTGCTTGAGTGTAAACAAGCTACTAGAATCGGTGTATTTGGAAGCAAGTTTGATGTCAGCATTCTCTATTATTTGGCGTTTAGATTTAACAACACTCTAAGGTGTATGTAAAGGCACGATTTGATGTTAACATAAAATAAAGTCACGCTAAGTTCAACACTAAGTTCAAAGAGCTATTGCACTACGGTATTGCATCTTAAGTAATCACTTCTTAGTTTCCCTTCGAAATTTAAAAGATTTTAAACATTCAATTTCCCATTTATGATTCGCGTTTCCATTTCTTTCTTTGTCCTAACTTGCGGTAACTAATGAATATATTTTTATATAAGGAATACTCTTTTCATATAATAAATAATAAGTCTTAAATTAAACATAATAAATAATAAGTCATAAAATAAATTCTAATATAAACAGATAAAAGAAGAAGAAAAAATCGACAATAATAACGCTTCTCGGATTTTATTCCTTAGTTTAAAAGGAGTAATGGTCAGCCACATAAATATGTATTTTATTTAACATCGGAATAAATTGAAGAAAATAGTGCGAATTCAAAAGAAAGCGCGACTCACTTTAAGACAAACATACGGTCATGGTCTTCAATAGTATACCACTTCCTATAGTTTGTCTAAAGTAAGAACTCCCCTAGCCATTCATCTGGACCCTGGTTTGATTGATTGATTGATTTGGATTTGTTCATTTACGTCGCACTAGAACTGCAGAATGGGCTACTGGCGACGGTCTGGGAAACATCCCTGAGGATGATCCGAAGACATGCCATCACAATTTTGATCCTCTGCAGAGAGGATGGCACCCCCACTTCGGTAGCCCGACGACCTGCACGCGAAGTCGAGCACTTTACGGTAGAACAGTTTAACGAGGAGCAATACCGCTCACCCTCGGTCCCTACGCAGACTGATCCAAATAGTCACCCACACGCACACTGACCGCAGTCAGTGATGCTTGACTTCGGTGATCTGTTGGGAACCGTGTCTTAACGATCAGTCCACTGCGGGACTCTGGACACTAGAGGTGACTATGGTAACGAGGTATAACTATTTCAAGTCGGGGTGTGGGGTCACTATTTAGGACAAGTTTTGGCTCGGGTCTGCAAGAGAAGGAGTATATTTTTCCTAGGTTTACTGTGTTAGCCCTAGAGTGAAGAGAAGCTACCCTCCTTGAAATGTAGCTATTCTTGTTTCCATGGCAGCAGACGGCCTCAGACTTTGTAGAGGGGAGTTCCTACCGTACACAAACTATCAAGGCTTTTCATAAAACTGAAATAAAAACAAATAACTTAGGAAAATTAACAAATAACCTAGGTTATTGATTAGGACTTCATGAATTTAGGAAAAAATAATGAAAGAAAACTATTAACTCATCACTCTAAATTGTGCTAAAACTTTTTGTTATAGTTAGTGTTAAAGACGTTGGGACAAAAATTGCACGTTAATAAAAAAATTATAAAAAATAATAAAATAAAAACTTAAAATGCTCTAACTTAAGAGGTGAAATGAAACTCATTTTAATGATATTTCCCTGTGTTTATTGGTTAATATTCAATTCCGAAAAAAATTGATTCTAGGCACACATGTATACAGTATTCATGAAATTTGGAATTTCATTTGGTAAATTAAGAGCTCTCTCTCTCTCTCGTCTAACCAAAATTATAATCTAACGGAGCCCCGGTTTACTTATCTAGTTTCCTCTTTTTTTTTAAATATATTTATTTTTCAAAGCAATTTTTAATTTCTAACTTAGTCTGTCATACTGTTAGTCAGTGTCAAAGATTTGTAACAAGCTTGTTCCAATGTATCAATATTTTAGGTAATAAGTTATCTATTTCTTCAAAAATAGGTTAAAGCCTTACAATAGTGTAACAGGATTGCCATACATGGTATTTTCAGTACTATTGTAGTATTTTTTCACCAAAAAATAGGGATGCGGTATTTTTCGTTGTATTTTTTTTCTTTTATAAATTTTTAAATCAAAGAGGAGAAATGCCACTCTAGTTTTTTGAAGTTATAAGCCAACCGGATACGTCTTGATTTCCAGAGTAACCGCAATAAACTGCCGGATATGGAAAGCCACAAACTAAATGCGAATTATTCTAATTTGGCGTTATTCTTGGCGTCTCATAAAGAAGCGGTCGCCGTGGAAATCAAGATACACCCCTATTAGTTGCTCTTTCAAGTGATAATTGAAAGAAATAAAAGTTTATTTATTCCTTTATTTGTAGATTATAATATAACTTGCTTTTTGTGTAACCAACACATCGTTAAAATTGATTTACGTTTTTTTTTCTAACTAGGATATGATTTGGAAAAAATATGAATATGAAATAAAATATGAAATTTCTTTTTTATGAAAGTTCGATTTTCCCCAAATTTGTTATAAATCATTTATGATACACAAGAGATATTTATGATACACGCAATTCTTATAAGATTAAGTTGCGGATTTAAATCCCTATCACTACTCGTTTACCTGAAGTATAAATGCATGGAAGGGAAAAGATAATTTTTATTCTCTTTTAAAATTATTTTATTCTTTGTAATATATCCTTTCATTTTATCCTTTTAATAGTATTATTATCCATTTAATAGTATTTATCCTTTTAATATTATTTAAACTTCCAAATTAATAGTGTAGACGGCGCATTAAATAGTATTTTGTAGTATTTCTTCAGATAAAGTTGTAGTATTGTTTAATTACAAAGTCTATAAACCCTGTAGTGTAATGTAATAAAGTGTAAGTTCAATAATTTAAAGGAATAATAAAGTGTGAATAGTTAATATTAAATGGAAGACAATTTAAGAATCTTTTTTCCGCATTTGAAGTAGCCCTCAAACTCAGGGATATAAATTATTTACACCTTCATTACTGTGTAAGAAAAGTTTTCTCATATTTTGTTCGAGATATGTACAAATTATATTTTTCAATACTTGCCTAATTACTTGATAGGAACTACGAGGGGAGTTCTAAAAAATCTCTTGGCTGATATTATCAATTGAATGCATTTATGATATTTAATAGAAAAATAAAATATTTTATGCCAAATTATCAAAAACTAGTGTTAATAACAGAAGAAAAAGTATTGCTTTGAATCAACCTCAATATTTTTATTGAGAACACAATTATCTGATATTTTAAATATACTGTCTGCATTAGAATAACAAATAACAGTTGATTTAATTACAATCAAAACGCGTGTTATATTATTCATAGTTATAATGTTTTCAGGAAAACACTCATTTGGATTATTGGATTATAAAAATATAGATTGAGGAAATGTATTTTCCGATGCGTCATCAGGACGGATGCAGGAGGAAAAAATTAAAAAATAAAGTTTGTACCACGTTCGTTTTATTTAATATTTTTTTATTCGTTTCTCTTCGAAGTTGAGAAAAAGGTTTTAACCCTTTCCCTTTTTTTTTTTTTTTTTTTTTTTTGGAAAAATGAAGCTGCTATTGGTTCTTTTTAAAATAGGAAGAAAAATAGTTTATGTTTTTTAACCAATCAGAACGCGAGATAATGTTTCTCTTAGTGACGATTTGCCAAAACATATTTAATCATTATTATATATGATATTCGCGACGATATGTTAAATTTTCGATAATGATCGGTAGTGTCGTAATCGATAATTATAGTTATCGAAAATGATAGCGATATTTCCGTCTTCCATAAGTATTTTATTTTATAACCGTCGTTGAACAGCCGACCCAATTTTTCCGGTTTTACGAGTACTTATGTTCAACTCCGCAGCCTTTGTAACCCAATCCAGAAAACAGGGGAACTCCTGCATCAAGTATTGAGAGAAATTTGCCTTCGAGGAGGACTTTTGAATGGAACTAACCCGCATTTGCGTCACATGGAGAGGAAAACCATAAAAACCTCCCATCGTAAACCTGACGGTAAGGGGACTCTAACCCATGATCCGTCCACCACTGCGAATATTTTACGTCAGCGCTGCGGTCGGTGCAAGCCGGATGCGGAATTCGTATCGACCAGAAATCTCTGTGATTCGAACACGGTTCTCCTCATTGGAAGGCAAACGCTCTATCTCCTGCGCCATCACGGCTCCGTACGTATTGCTATCATTAATAATAGCGATAATTCTATTTGATACATTTATGCGTATTATCTATAGCAGATAATTAATATAACCAAGTAACTGGCGCTTTTTTCTTCTCCCTACGTATTGGCTTCATTTTCCATTTAACCGATAAGCGAGCCGTGGTGGCTCTGTGGATAGAGCATTCACCTCCCAATGAGGTGAACCGGGTTCGAATCCCAGCGATGGCTGGTCGATACGAATTCCGCATCCGACTTCCACCGACCACAGTGCTGACGTGACGTATCCTCAGTGGTAGATGGATCATGGTTTAAAGTCTCTTTGCCGTCAGGCTAACCGTGGAAGGTTCTCGTGGTCTTCCTCTCCATGTAACGCAAATTCTGGTTAGTTCCATAAAAAAAGCTTTCCACGTAGGCAAATTTCTCCCAATATTTGATCCAGGAATTCCCTTGTCTTCGGGATTGGGTTCAAAATGACAAGGCTACGGAGTTGAACATTAGAAGCCGTAAACCCGAAAAAATTGGTTTGGCTGTTCAACGACGGTTATAAAATAAAATAAAAATATAACCGATAAGCATCCGCTTAATAAACAATTTTGCTCACTCATTTAGTTTTCTTGCAGTGATCGGCAAAGAAGTACAGAATGCACCGTCTCAACTGCAGATTCCCAACCTTCCAAGAAACAGATCTTTCAATACTCTGCACAGGGACTTCCACCTCTGTGACGTCGTTGATTTCGCTAAAGTAGGAGTAGAGGTATGCTGATTTCATTTTACACCAGCTCTTTATTACGAAGTACCGATCAAAAGAACCCTTTTCGCTGGTGGTAGTAAGTTAATGTAGAATCAACGTTACTATACTGAGTTCGTAATCAACTAACGTGGACAAAAAGCGTCACGGAAATTCAAGTATCGGTAAACTACACCGAAGAGCCATTATATTATGACCACCCTCCATCTATAACAATGGGCTCGCCCTATGTTTTCATGGGACACATTAGGACCCATAATCCTCATAGAACAATCCCTGACGTCTGTAAGCTACTTGAACATAGTTGCAGACCAGGTTCACCCATTCATGGCAACAGTTTTTCCTGCGGGGGATGGTGTTTACCAACAGGATAATGCACCATGTCATAAGGGTCGAATCGTCATGGATTGGTTCGAGGAACATTCCAGTGACTTTCAAGTCATGTCTTGGCCCCCAAATTCACCTGACCTTAATCCAATAGAGCATTTGTGGTCCTACTTGGAAAACCAAATTCGTGCTGCCACGCTACCCTCTCGCAATGTAAGGGAATTGTAGGACCAGTTGATGAACGCTTGGTACCAGATACCTCAGACTACCTATCAGCACCTTGTGGAATCAATGCCACGGCGGGTGCTAGCAGTTTTGAGGGCTAAAGGTGGTCCTACATGTTATTAGCATGGTGGTCAAAATGTAATGGCTCTTCGGTGTACATGGTTAATGGTTATTCGTTCGCGCAAAAAATTTTTTTTGCTCCATTTTAATGTTATTTTCCAAATGCTTTTTTTCCCTATTAAATAACTATAAAAAAAAATTCCCTATGAACTTTTTGCGAATAACAAAATGCTAATATGGACTTCAATGTTGATTAGGAAAATGGCACTTAAAAATAGTCCACACGTGAAAATAGTCTTGGAAAAAAATTTTGTGACTTTGAACTCTTCTTTGACATTTCTCTCCTTTGTAGTTGCTTTTCATTCAACATTCTTTTTTCATGAACAGTTGATTAAAAAAGAAATCATTTTATTTACTAAATATATAATTATTATAAATTTATGTAAACGCATTTTGTTGTTATGTTAAACGGGAAGAAATGCAGGGATACTTAGATACTTGGAAAGAAAAAAATTTGATTCAGGAATATAGAATGTGAGACTCAATACAAAGCAATAAATGTAGCACAAAGGGCTACTTTTTTTATCATCGACAATCTAGACCTGAATCCAATGGAGGAGGCAAGCGTGCTAAACTCACTAGCACACTTTAGCGTTCGTGCGAAACTCACTTAAAGAAAAAAAAATACCTGGAGCAAAGAACGGAACAGTAGGTGAATTTTTAGATACTGCAAAATATTGTAGTAGATGAGTTGCAACCCTGAATGGAAGCGAAAGTGAAATCATTTCTTCAGATCGTAATATTTTTCTGTTTTTTTGGAAATTTGTCTGGGTTATTTTTGCATGCATCAATTTTTTTTTATTGTTTTATATGCCTCCAAGTAACCATGCATTTTTGAGAATAATATAGTGGGTACATTGAATGAATATTTAAAAAAGAACATGATGCTCGCGTGTAGTCAGACCTCTATTTAACGAAGTCGCTGAATCCCGATTATACGATGGTTGCTATTTATATTTCAGGCCTAATAATGAAAAAACAAATATGTAGGATCGAAATTGGTTTTATTGTTTTTCAAAATATTCTCCATGACTAATTTCGGATTTNTGAACCAATTTTCAAAGCACTTTTTCCAGTCCGATTGAGGTAACTCCAAAACATGCGTTTTGAATGCATCAACCGCTTCTTCGGGGGTCGAAAATCGTTGTCCACGTAATTTATTTTTGATGTGTGGGAATAAGAAGAAGTCATTGGGTGCCAAATCAGGGCTGTACGGCGGATGGCATATCAGTTCGATCTTTCGCTCCGTCAGAAATGCCTTTGTTTGAAACGATGTGTGAGAGCTCGCATTGCATGATGAAGAATGATTCGCCTGTTCTTCTGCTTTTTTCGAATTTCTCCGATGACTTCTGGGAAACAAATCGTCGTGTACCATTCAGAATTGACCGTCCTGCGTTGCTCTAACGCCACTGTTGCCACATGACCGTTAATGCCGAAGAAACAGGCAATCATTTGTTTCGATGTGCTTCTTCCTCGA